GAATCTTGCTATTAGTGCCTGCAGCACCTTGTTATTGTTACTCAGCTAGCTGTATGGTGTGTGTACTCACTAGAGAGACACAGAGAGGAGACGTGAAAAAGCTCCCACCGTGGGGCATGGCCATGCTGCCATCCCTTCTCTATTCTCCGCTTGGGATTTGGGGCATGCACACACATGGTCCAGGCATGTTTTTCAAGCCACCGGGTCCAGGACTTGAACTGTGCAGTCATCCTTGTGGGTTCCAGCCACCTTAACCATCATGCCACTGACTGGCCTCTGTGCCTGCAGCATCTGACTTGCCACCCACCAGCCCGAGACTGCCCGGACACCTGGAGGTCTCCTCCTCAGTCAGGTTTAGTTGAGAGGATAAAGAACATGCCACTAGGTTCCTTCTCATTGTGGTGCCCTTTGAGTGGAAAGAAAAGGAGTTTCAGGTTGAAAAAAATAGGAAGAGGGCCAGCAGGTGGCATGGTGGTGAAGGAGCTGGACTCCCACATGGGCAACTGTGGTTCAAGTCCCAGACCTGGCAGTTTGCTTTCTCACTTTCTCTCTCGCTGTTTGTCTGTCTCTGCTGCATGCACATGCCCTATAGCAAATTAATAATAATAGTAATAATAATAATAATAATAAAGAATTCTTTAAAGAAAAAGAAAAGAGTAGAAGGAATAACTTTTCATGCTTACTCCTGCAGGTTAGGAAGGAGGCTGCTGTGGAAACTGAGATCTCAACAAGGAGGGAATGTGAGGAGGAGAGTGGCTATTGACTCTTCTGGAATCTTAGTGTTGGATAGATGGGTGAATAAGCAAGACACCAGGCCCTGGGTCCCCTCCCGATTCTGTCCACTGTCATTAGAGCCCGCCTACCTCTGCCAGGTCCTTCTCAGGTCTCCCCCTTGTATCAGGTCCTTCCTTTGCCTTTACAGAGACTATAGAGTGCATAATAGAGTGGGGTGGACTGAGACAGGGGCAGAGCAGGGACAGTTACATTCCTGTTGTCTCTGTGTTTGTTTCTGACTTGAGGTTGGACTTCATGTTCCCATAGAAACACTGTTAAAGGTACACCTTTCCCTGGCTAGCCCCTGGAAGTCTCTCTAACCCGGCATGCTCCTGAAACACTGGACATTAGAATGATAATAATAGACTTAAAACTGCCGTGGCAGGGGTGCAAGATTTTGGTTCCATACTTGGCCAAGTAGCATTTTGGTGGTTGATAGGCCAACACGACTGGTAACATGCATGCTTTGGAAAAGATTTTCCAAAGATCATAACCACCAATTTAAAAATGCACATTTTTAAAAGAATTGTTTTATTTATTATTTTTGTTTTCTTTTTAATTTGTCCAGAACAAGAGAAAGAGAAAGTGAGAAAAGTGAGAAAGCAAGCCGCCAGGTCTAGAACTGAGACCACGGTCAGTCATGCTAGAGTCCAGTACCTAAATCACCAGGCCACTGGCTGGCCCCAGAAATGCACATTTTAAAAGTTTGTTTGTTTATTTCTTTCATGAGTGAGAACGACAGCACCTTGAAAGGGGCCCAATGCTGAGAAGCACCCCCGCTTCAGCCAGCCCCAGATCACGTGTCTGGTGTACTCAGGGAGATTTCCACATGCAAACCCAGGACTGTCCCGTCCTGTGTGTTAGCTGGCAGAGCCGAGTTTTACACTGCACCACCTTCCAGCACCCCGAGAAATGCACATTTGAATGCATCTCTGCCTGTATTTGTTCATCACAAATGTCATAACCTCTTTAATATAACCTCTCCATCCCCCCCAAGTCCTAAAAGCAATTGAGTCTCTGCAGAGAGACAGCTGAAGAGCCTCGCCAGTTTCAATATTGATTGAGTCCACACCTGACTCGATGACACTAGTCCCACTCCTTTCATGGGAAATACTAAGTTTATATTCAAAGTTTTGTAAACCCTTAGTTCTATCCCACATTTTACAAAGTTATTCTATTCTCCAACTGGAAAAATACTCAGGAGAGTAAGAAAATTCTGGAAGAAAACAAGAGAGAGAGACTTAGCAGAGTTGAAAAGGTATTGAAATGCTATGGTAACAAAAGCACTTGGATACAGTGGGAAACAGCATGCTCAGTACAGCCACCAGTGAAGGAATTAAAGACTTAAAGTCTGACTAAAGTATGAAAGATCTCATAATCGTTTTTTTATCCAGGTATTACCACATCCCACAGATGTTTAAACAAGTCTGAACTGATTTCTTGTGTAGAGGGTGTCAATTTGAAAACCAGGCAGATGCAGCCGTGCTAAAAGTGGGCCCGAAGTCAATTATTTAAAGAAATTGGATCCCAGTGTCCCTGGGTGGACAGTCTTTGAAGTTACCAATATGTCCATAGTTCTAATGGAGAAAAAGGAAGACATGAAAAAATTGTGGTAGGGCTGACGGGACAACTATGAATTAAGTACCAGTTTTTTAAAAAAGGACTATCTTGACGTGGGCCTTGGAAGAATGAAGGTGGTGGTGTCCTTGGTGAGCAGTGGAAGGAATCAGAAATTCAGATATTCCTTAAATAAGAATTTATTGACTCTTATATACATTTTTTAAAAAGACTTAAAGTCTGTAGCATAGATTAGCAGGGGAGGTGCTGGCTGCTCAGTAAATAGGTCGAGATTGCCAGTGAGCCATTTGGGGAAAAAATTAAGTTGGATCCCTAACTTATGTCTTACCCTAAAATTATCAGTGGAATAAGAATTTTTTAAAGAAAACACGTACACACAAAGCCAGGCAGAAGAATTACAGATAAATTAATTCTATAATCTTTTAAAAATTAAATTTATTATTATTATAATCTTGTTTATATTACATTAAATCACATATAACTTTACAGTGTACTACATTTCTTTTTCCAAAAAGAATACCATGCATATCATTCGATATAAAGATATTACAATCCCCTCATCATCATCAAATAGCTTCTCATTATTTTTTTCCAGATTATTATTATTCCAATTATTTTTTTAAACATTCTATCACTGTTGATCATTTTGCTTGTAAAAAGATTTTACCCAACATGAAATACTTCTCAGACCAGTCCAGTTGAGAATACTATATCCGTCATCAACAGGTAATAAACCATTTCTGTGTCCCACTAATGTCATGCCTCTCTCTTGCTATCCTTCTCCATACTCTTCTCTTCTCCCACCCTGTTCCATACTGTCTTCATCATCGCTAACTATTTTCACTGCTCTTATGCCTTCCAATATTTCTATCTCTACCATAAAGTGCAAATAATTGGTATATAGTAAGTGCATACATACAATAACTTTCTTTCATACCCTGGCTTGCTTCACTCAGCAATAGATCCTCCATATCCGACCACTTTCTATCAAATGCCAGGGTCTTGTTTTTTATGGCTGAGTGGTATTTCCCAGAGTATACGTGTCACACTTTTTCAATCCATTCATCAGTTTGTGGACATTTGGGTTGGTTCCATGTCTTAGCGATTGTGAATAATGCTGCAATAAGCATTGATTTGCAAGCGCTTTTTCAACTGAGCAGTCTCCTGTCCTTTGGGTAGATACCCAGAAGTGGGATTGTTGGATCAAATGATAGTTCTATTTGTAGATCTTTAAGGAACCTCCATATTGTTCTCCACAGTAGCAATTAATTCTATAATCTTGAGACAAAGTAGAAATTTCTAAACATAATACCTGTATTCTTTTTTTTTTTTTTATTGGGACCAGCAGACAGCATAATGGTTATGTCACTGCACTCCCATGTAGTCAACCACTGTTTGAGTACTGGACCCGGAGGCTTAAAACTCATGGAGGTGTGTGTGTGTGCCCAAGGTCCTGAGAGGAAAATGGAGGAGGAGTGATTGTGGTGTGGCCATCCTCCTAGGGGGTGATTTCTCGCTTTCTGTCTCTCTGTCTCTGTCTTTCTGGCAAGTGCACACTCTCTACAGCAAAAATCTCTCTTTAAGAAAAAGAGTTATTTTAGGGACCAGCAGTTGGTATAATGGCTATGTTGCTGGACTCCCATGTAGTCAACTGCAGTTTGAGTCCTGGACCCAGTGGCTTAAACTCTTGCCAGGCACATGTGCATGCATGCCCAAGATCCCAAGAAAAGAATGGAGGAGAAGGGATTGCAGCGTGGCCATCCCCCCTGGGGGGTGATTTCTTGCTTTCTGTGTCTCTGTCTTTCTGGCGAACACACATGCCCTATAGTAAACCCCCTCAAAAAAGAGAATTATTTTATTTTAACTTTATTTATTACCATTATTATCTTTTAGCTTGACCAGAGAGAGAGAGGAAAACTGAGAAAACAGTCGATGCAGGGATGGGACAGACAACACTCTCCCCATGTAAACCCCTCCCCTGCTCATTGGTATAACCTTTTGGCCAAGTCCAATCAGAGCCAGAAGGCAGAAGAGACCACCTGTGCCTTTCACATAGTCCAGCATCTCGGTATAGGGCAGAGTTTGGACCTAGGGAGTTGGCAGCAAGCCGAAAATGTCCAGGATGATGTAAAAATTGTACAGTTTTTTTCAAAGATTTAAATACCTAGGATAAGTTTACCTATCAGAAATGTCGCAACCATTTCTTACTGCCCTCTAATAATCTAAGAGAGGTCCATGTTTCCACACCATATCCAATCCTGCAGGTTACTGAATTAACCAGCATGGCTGGCTGCTTCTCCACAGGCAGGTCTCTGGGGAAAAGCTGCTCTCCGAGAAGCCTTCCCTGACCTCCTGAGCCTACATAGCCACCCCACGATCCCACGCCCCTCTGAACCTGCTCTGTAGGCTGTGGCGCCGATCACTGCTTCTGCCTGTCCTACATAAACCCCAGGGCAAAGGACTGGCCCTGCTTACAGCTCTGTGGGTAGTACAACGTGGTGTGTGCACAATAGTTTGGGGTTAAATAAACGGTATGTCCCCAAAGCCGTGACCCCCACCCCCTCCCCCCGAAAGTATGTTGAATTCTGACTGACCTAGCATTCCTAGCAGGTCGCTAACGTGTCTCTTTGTTGTCCCCTTCTCTCTAGCTCCCCTACTTTATGAACGAGCTAACGCTGACGGAACTCGACATGGGAGTGGCTGTGCCAAAAATCCTTCAGGCCTTCAAGCCTTACGTTGATCACCAAGGTAACGGAATTGACTCTAGAGAGGAATCGACCATTCATAGGATGTTAAAACTTCTGTGTTGCTGCAGATTCGGTACCAAGACTGCGTCTGGAGGGGGCTGGGGGCTCGGTGAACTATCTCACACTCAATGTGCTTTGTTCCTGACAGCACAGCCCGACACTGCTGAGAAGTAGGACGGGTTGCTTTCTCCCCGTCCTTCTAGTCTCATGGCTTGTCACAAGGCCCTCTCTAGCTGAAGTGCCATTTGGTGGGGCGTGAGTTTGTGTGTGGGTCCCAGTCCTCACCAGGATGTGAGGCAGTGGGCTGGCTTTCTGCCCCACACACCTTACCAGCCTCCCGTGGGCATCTGCCCTGGCACCGGCTGCTCTTGTCAGCAGCTGCCCCTCCTCGTACGTATTCACAGCCTCTCCCTGCCCTGACTTCTAGATTGCAGTGTCTTCAACCTTCATGTCTCACGTCTTAATGTTCCTTACTGCCCCCAGTAAGTGCTCAGTGAGTGAGTGGAAAATGAAGACAGTGTTTTCAGAGTAAGGCTTTCTACTGGAGGAGAGTTCTCAGCTTTTGTTTTATTTTATCTTTTTTAGACATTCACCTGACATGCACTCCAGCAAACTAAAGAAAGATTTATGTATCTTCTGTGTCAAGTGGCTTTTATTTTTTCAACGGTTATTATTTATTTATTTATTTTTGCCATAAGGCGTGTGCACTTACCGGAGACAGTGAGAGGGAAAGTGGGAATCACCCGCTGAGGGAGAATGACCACACCGCAATCCCTTCTCCTTCATTCTCCTCCTGGGCTTTTGGGCATCACGCAGAGGCACCTGGCATGAGTGTCAAGCTGCTGGACCTGGGACTCAAACTGTGGTCGGCCACATGAGAGTCCCGTTTCTTAGCCACTACACCACCTGCTGGCCCCTCAAGTGGTTTTCTTTAAAAGGACCTTGACAGGGATAATGTAGTGAACAGGAGTTTGGAGTGAGTCAGAAGGTAAGAATAGCCCGATAGTAGGCAGGGAAAGTTGCCCCGACCTTTTCGCAGTGGTATCCCCAGCCAAGAA